AATTAAAATAATAAATAATTAAAATTTTATATAAATATAATATATAAAATTTATAAATAAATAGGAACGAGTATGGAGGCTCCCCTAAACTTTTAAAAAAATTAAATATACTATTTTGAAAAATCAAATGAACTTTTTTTAAAAAATAAAATAAAATGATATGTTTTAATTTTTATTCTTTAATAAATCTTATTACAAATTGCTAACAACTTTACAAGTAAAATAAATTTAATAAAATATTTTTATTTATTTGACATATTTGTCATTCTAATATGTGTACAATTAATAATTATTTGTATCAAGTAACAAAATAAAATTAACTTAACATTAATAATATCAAATTTTTAAAACATTTAATTTTACTATCTATGTAATATTGAGTAGTATTTTATGATAAAAGTTGTATTTCATATTGAAATTTAAATACACAAATTTTAACAAATTTTTTTATATTTAAAATCTTTAAAATTTTAATTTTTATATATTTAAATATTAATCTTATTTATAAATTACAAATCAAAAAATTCATTTTTAACCTATACATTTTAAACAAGACATCGCCCCTCGAGATTATTTTCTTGTTCTGTCTTTGTATATAAGTAAATTTTTTATCAACCAATAATTAATAAAATAATTAATATTTATTAATTAATAAATTAAAATTAATTAACAAATTAATATTTTTATACTATTAAAAGAAATTAAAAAATTAATAACTTGAACTTTTTCTTTTTTGCCATAACCCAAAGGACAAAATAGAGCTGTGCATTTGGTATCATGAGCTCCCATCAAAAGTAATAATGAACATATAATATAGTTGGAAAATTTACACAATTTTAAATTACCAATAAAAACAACGTCAAGGCTCTTGCCCCTTGGTTGAAATCAAAATCTTGCTCAATCTCTTGGCCAATGGTTTTGCAAGAGTGGATCACTGGGTTGTTTCCTTCATCTTTTTACTGTTATTACTATTTTCTGGACTAATGGTAAGTAGTACAAGGCATGGTTTGGTTTCAATCTTAACCAATATTTGATTATCTTTTTTTTTTCTTTCTAAAAACTAAAATTAGACAAAAAAATGCTTATGGATTTTTGTTTTGGTGATCGAAATAGTTAGTTTTAATAATTCGATTATCGGTTACAACTAAATCAACAATGAATACCTATTTCAAGCTTAAAAATGATTATACTCAGCCAAAATTTGAAATTTTTTCCCTTGAAAAAATATTAATACAATCAATACCTAATTTAATTCAATAAAACATAATCAAACCAAGCTTCATTCTAATGTATTTATTGCCAACAAGAAGTTTGAATAATGTAGATTCATTATCCATTCATCATTCTAGATTGAAGAGAAGAAAACAAAAATACAAAGAACACAAAAATAAAAAAAAACCATCATTTTCTAAGTTATAGTCAAAGTCCTTTACCCATCAACAAGTTAGAGTGATGACGGATAACTATTGATTACAAACAAATATCTAAGTTAGGTACGTTACATATAATTTTTCACAAAACTAATAAATATCAAGTATGCATCTACTACCATAAAAATGAAATTGAGATGCAACTTCTAATGTACATTATATCAATTTTCCAAGCATTATTTATAATATAAGCAAAGTAGGAGTTATCCAAGCATTAGTAACATGAGTTAGAAAGTAGAAACTGTGTAAAAAGACTATAGTTGTCAAATTGAGTGACTGAGCAAAAGGACCAACAAGCTTCATCTTTGATTTTTTGTATAACTGTAGCATATTGATGATTCATATATGCTATCAACAAAGAAAATCTAAAAAAAGCTTTGGCATATATACCTTGATTAGTTAATCATTTATCAAAGAAAAATGCAAGTTATTTCAACCAATTATATGAAATAAATTAGAAAGTATCAAAGGATCAATATAAATGCCTAAGTATTCTTGTAATGTATTATATGATATATCCAAGTAAGACAATAAGATGATAGGAATCAAAAGATTAATATGCCTCATTATACCAACCAATTATTATATGATATATTGAAATATATATGTTGTAAAAAAATAAAAGTAAGATGAATAAATTATACCTTCCACCCTACCACCAAAAAAGGCAAACCATTCTAGTATTCTACCATTCATTCAAGAATGGTAGAATCCAAATGGGAATTATCAAACTCTGCGAAATTCAAAATCAAAAGTATAGAGTTAAATAGACATTATTAACTAGGTAATTCAAATAAACGAACTTTGAAATATTAAAGTATTTAAATTATAACTTATATCTTTCTCCATGATCTTTATCTCATCAAAGTCCATCTCATTGTTATCACAAGTTGTCCTTGACCTAGCCCACAACCAATCTTGGGCACAAATGAGGAGTTGAGTCATTCTTGGTGTTAATGATGACTAAAAGACATCAAGAACTCAACCTCCTATGTTAAAGGCTAATTTTGAAGCCACTGTAAAAATAGGGAACACAAGAACATCTCTTGCCATGGCTACCAAGATAAGGAATTTTGAAGTATTCATCTTTCACCAGTTTAGAATATCAAAATCCTCATAATCATTTTTAATATCTTTTCCTAAATATTTATCAAAATTAGTTTTTTCTACATTATTCCATTTTCAGTCTTATACCTCTTATAAGCAAACTCGAGTTGCAACCTAGAATGTTGTCTATATTCAATCTCATTTGAGGCATTACAAACACCATTGTTACCTTCTTGAACTTCACCTTGTCCACCACCAAATTGCATTCTCTTATATTTATTGAAGAATCTCCTCAATTCTACATAAACCATATCTCTATATTCTTTTCCCTTCTTTAGATTATTTGTACTCCACAATAAGAATTGAATAAAATCCAATTAGTGCCTCAGATCAAGCATAACAACATGAAAGATGTTCTTATTCATGTCATTGGATTTGCTCCAATACTTACCACACTTTTCTCTCATATTTCCAATCATTTCAAAAAAATCCACATCCTTTTCCCATCTTTTTAAAAGAAATTCAACATAACAAATTAAGTTAAATACAATAAGTTAATAGCATACATGATAATTTACAAGTAATAAATAAGAGATCTAATTTCAATTTGTAAGTTTGAAAAACATACTTCATTGATTTCTTGGAAATACAAATGGCTTATAGGATAATGGCTACAAGAAATCAACTTAATTAGGAAGTAGAAGTGTTCCATAAACTTCACCACCCTTCTCACATTCTCCCAATCAATACATGATGGGAATTCAAGTGCATTTTGTCCATAATTTAAATCTGACCCCATATCTTTGTCTTGCCTAGCATACTTTAAAAAAATAAATCAAATATTAACATGTTTTAAAATACAAATATAAAATGAATTTAACTAAATTCAAAATATGACTAAAATAGTAATGATAATTGGGAAAAACTATATTTACCTCTTAAATGCCATCTCAAATTTTTTAGCAATGTCTAGCATCAAATATAAAGAATTCCATCTTGTGGGAGCATCTAAACATAACCGTTTCTTGGTCTCAATTTGTTCATATTGGACAACATCCTTGAATCTTTTCAATCTCATAAGGCTTTATCGAACATACTTGACAGCAACCCTCATAGCATTCATTGATTGGTTAATATGTTTCTTTTTTGTTCCATCACCAACGATTATGTTAACAATGAGTTGCACATCTCATTTTCAGATATTGGGCCCCCAAAACTATTATATCGCACCTGTTTAGAGTATTTCTAAGGACTCTAATAACTTCATCATTGGTTAATGCATTGTCTACAATTAATCCATACATCTTTTCAATACCCTAATCTTTTAAATACCTTTCTAACAGGTCCCCTAATTTCTCTCCTTTATGACTTTCAATAAGATAGAAGTTTAGAATTCTTTTTTGTAACTTCCAATTCTTATCAACATAATGTGCAATAAGATATATATAAATAATTCTTTGCAGTAAGGTCTATGTGTCAATGATAAGTGAAACCCCTTACCCTGATTCCTTCAAATAATTTTTAAGCATCAACATTTCCTCAACATAAATATGAAAGCAATTCTTAGTTATTAACCTTCTAGATGAAACCTTAAAAGTTCAGTGCAAAGCAAAGAGACAGAGCATCTTAAACCCTAATTTTTCAACAACACTAAAGGGTAGCTAATAAAGTATGCTCATCTCAGTTAATACCCCTTTTAATGACTCAAGGGCAAATTTCCAAGCACCTAAGTAAGGCACTTGTTCACCATTCTATCCCTCAGTATTACAATCTCTACTAAAACCCTGATATTGCTTACAACTCAATAAATAATTTCGCATGGAAAAGGTTTCATTTAAAGTATAAGTAAATAAGGTTTTGTTACGGTAGTTACACCTAGACTTAGTTTTGTCATTATCATTAACAAGTTCAGTAAAATAATTCTTGACCTCAAACTTTCTATTGTTACCTTCCTTCCTTTTAGCACCAATCTTTACACCATTTATGGCCATCCTTCCTCTTGTTTGAGCTTAACAAGGCTGTTGGGAAGAATTACCCATTTGCACATTAGCATTATCATTTTCTAATTGGTCATTATCACTAATATGCATCTCTACATCCTATACCAAAGGTTATGCAAGTTAAGTTTATCTACTTTGAATTTTAGCTAACCTATCATCAATATGAAATTATCAACAAAATAGTCTTGTGAGTACTCACTCTTTGGTTGGTATTCTACCTTTGTACCTTTCTACCATATCCAAACTTACAACAATCTAACTGGAATAGGAAGGAAGACTGAAATTGTTACATAAATCAACTAATATTTATGGTTCTTGATAAAATTTAGGAATTGACTTAGGCATTTAGACAAAAATATGACTAATTATGAATCTTCAATAAAATACATAAGGACTTGAGTTACCATATCTTCTATAGTTAACATAGAAGACTAAGATTCATATATTATACCTATTCAATGAAAATGCAGATTTGGATTCAAGAGCTTCTTAAAGAACCTTGAAATGCAAAGCTTTAAAACCCCTCGAAATCTTCTTGAAGATGGTCAAGATTAGGAACTCAAAATTAGGATTTTCAGGGTTTTGGTTCTTAGAATGATCAAAAAAGAGATGTAGCAATGGCAAGAAGGAAGAACATATGAGGAAAAAGAAGAGATACCTATTGAATGAAAGAAAATCTAGATTCAAGAGTTTCCTAAAGAACCTTGACATCCAAAGTTTCAAAACCCGTCAAAATCTTTTTGAAGATGGTCAAGATTATGAACTCAAAAGTAGGATTTTTAGGGTTTTGGTTCTTAGAATGATAAAAAAAGAGATATAGCAATGGTAAGAAGGAAGAACATATAAGGAGAAAGGAGAAATAGAGAGTGATGTCAATAAATGTTGAGGAGCACAAACTAATCCATGGTTGTGAAGGAAAAAGAAGAAAGAGGAAATTAGATGTAAAAAAATAACCTTATGCAAAGAGAAAACCCTTATAAACTTGTGAAAAAAAAAAAAAAGAAATCCATTTTGTTTGATAGAATGAAGGGAAATTGAAATCTGATTTAGAGGGGAAATTTTTGGGTGAGAGGGAAATCTAAAAATGTGGGTAGAAGATGAAGAATTTAAGATTTTCTAAGTTTCAACCTTTTGTTAAAGATTTTTAAAAAAAAATTTCCAATTTTTCGGCCCAAATGAGCCCAGCCCTTTCGGTTAGTCAAGAATTACATTTTGATTTCCGGTTACTAGGCCCCCTATTCAAAACCGAACCAAATTAAACCTAAATAAATTCAAACCCAATCAGTTTTACCCAATAACCATTATACCCAACCTAAATTCAGTGTCCAATTTTGGATTTCAGTTACGTAAGTGGTTAACCATCCGATTGCCCACCCCTAATGGTAAGGGCATTTGGCCATCTTTTAAATATCTCAAAATTAATATCTCAAGGCACTTTTAATGGCACGCCCTACCTATTAACTTATAGTATTTAAAAAATTTAATCTTTTTAAATATTAATTTTAGAGCTTCAATTCTAAATCTCACTTACAAAACAGTTTATTTAATAGCGCACAATGGTTTGATTAAGATTCCTTCAGGCAACTGCCATGCGTGTGTGTGTGTGTGTGTTTTTTTTTTTTGATTATCCTTTGAAGGGTTTTCCATTTGGTAATCCAAACTGTAATGGATTGCAAAATCAAAACCCCTGAAATGGAGGAGAATGGCCCAATATCACGAAACCCTCCTCAATTTAAAAGTCACTGTTTTACAGTTCAATTCAATCTAAACTACAAAACAATTTTTTGTACTACAAAACTAATATTCCTTATTTATTGTGTATATATGAATCTCCAGTAATAATGTGAGTGATATTTAATAATTAAATCTTGTGAAAAAAAGAAAGGCCAAGGAGCACTGCCTGAAATATAGTGCAAGTGAGGTATTTGAATCATTCAACAGCATATCTGTTGAGTATTGGCTACTGACTCTGCCTGTATGTCTCTAGCAACAAATATTTTTAGAAAGTTCAACTGGTTAACACCAAGCAGGTTCCTTTGATTATCTTGCAAGGGGGACAACCATACAGGATAGAGGCATGATACAGCCCTATGCCCAGTGAAATGTTAAGAAGGCTGACATGAACCAAAGACTGTAACAAGCAAAAGTATCAAATGCAGATGTTTTGATGTTCATTACAATATACATAAAAGGCCAGTGAATTTCAGCCACCACGGGCTTCTCTCCTTGTTGCATCATGAAGCAATTCAACATCCACTCCATCAGGTGGTAGTTGAACATATCTCACAACTGATCCTCTAATGAAACAGTTCCTCACCGAAAGCTGCAATGAATAAAAAAAAAAATCTTCAAATCTAGCTTAGACAAGCCAAGAAGCATGCTAGGCAATTACAATGCAGTGATACTTCCAAGATAACATAACCAGCCAGCAGGGTGCAGCATGTCTCCATTTTTAAAAACTGAATGAAAAACAAAAGTGGAGTAACAGTAAAAAAAGAACAGAAGTGAATAGGATGGGGAGGGTGCACCCAACTACATTTGTTACCACATGGACACCATTGAAATTTTTTATGAACTTGTTAACAGTTAGACACATGCAGACAGTGGCATCTGAATCTTCAAAAGAAAAGACAATGGGAGGCAGTTGTTTGCATTGCCATTCTACATGGGCATTGGCATACCTTCATACCCATCAAACAATGAAAACACAGATTAAGAGAGTGGATAACATTCCAAAGGCAATCACAAACAAAGGCAAAGCTGTACTGCACTAAAAACAAGACACTCATTTCTGACACAAGAGAGAGGGCAATGGAGAGTTTGGAAGAAAGATGAAAGATTAATTTGAAAAGAGATAGCAAGGCTTTGGATTTCAAGTGCATTCAAGGAGGGTTACTAGACCAGCACTCAGCATCAAGCCCAATAATTAGAACATAAGCTTTAAAGGTTAGGGAAGACCACTATCACTCTTGGAGGCAAGTACTGCTTACAGCTTACTAGATGAAAACAAGCATAAATCTATTACCAGCATGACATGCACTGGTCAACATTCAGCATAAAAAAGGTTAACAGAAAAGAAAACTGATAGATAAAATCTTACATAAACAAAAAACATAATAATCCCTAACCCAAAATGGAGATTCCACCATATTAATGAACAGACATGGAAACAGGAACCTTGCAAGAAAGAAAACCAATTATTCTCGCAGGGAAGCAGAGGAAAAATATAGAAATAGAAGAAAATCCACACTTTCCAAGCCCAACTCTCAGGCTCCAATCCCATCTAAAACATTATCTTATATTAGAAAATCAAATATTTAACGCAAGATCCATGTTTACTATCATAAATTGACAAGAACCCAAAACAGTCCCGAACATAATGTTAATAATAACCAACAACCCGTGAAAAAGGTAAATTCCAGTAGCATTTAGCAATTAACACTAAATCAACGTCAAGGAACAGGATTGAAACTTTTTTTTTTTCCTTATCAAAGACCTCTCTTTTTTGCATACTCGTATGAAGACTTTGAAGTACAAAAAACCCCTAATTTTTATTCTTACAATTATTTTACACGCAATAGACTTAAGGTATGTGATGAATCTTGAACAGAGCAAATTCCACGGACATTCAAGCTACAATAAGGCTATGCTCGAACCGGAGAACAAAACCATAAAATAACCTTAAAATAAGCACACAATCATATTAGATTGAGACTGAGGGAAAAGAGATACCATGTGAGGATACTTGTCTTGATCGACAACCCTAGTATTCTCGAGCTTGATATTGAGGTACTGATCGACGGAGTGAAGGGTTCCTCTGATAGCCAAATCATTCTTCAGCTCCACTGTCACTTCTCTGCCAACCAAGTCCTTGAAGTACGAAAAGAACAACTGCAACCCCACAACCAAAAAAAAAAGAGACCCATAACGCGATTAGAAGAAGATCACATCAAGGAAAATCAGAAAGAAGAACCCTAATAAAAATGAAAGCATAAATACCATGATTCTGGGAGGGGAGAGATGGCTGTCTCAGCTACGGCGGAGAAACGGGCTTGCGGAGAGGGTGAACAGATCAGAGCAGAGTGTGAATGACGAAACGAAACGGAGACAGGGGAAGGTTGAAAATATATGTAACTGAAATTACATATATAACCTTATATTTTTCTAAAATACAATTATTTTTTATTCATATAATAATAAAAAAATAACTTTTATTTTTTATAAATTTTTTTATTTAATTTATAATTTATAATTCAAAATTTTAATTTAAAGTTTTAAACTTTTAATTATTAAAATTAAAAAAATTATGTTTATCAACCTTATCTCTTAAAAATTAAGAGAGAAATTATCTCAAAACTATATCATTTCAATAAATTTTTATTAAAAAAAATTAAATTACATATTTTTAAAAGATGCATTAAAGTAATTTTTATTTTTTTTTTAATTTTTTAAAAATAAAACCAACAAGCATTATCCTCTTAAAGTTAATCCCTAAAGTATATTAGCATAATTCTCTCTGTTTCGGCAGTTCGTCAAAGATCGGAAGGCCTGTGGGACAGCTCCTACACTCCTACTTTTGTAAACAAAGTTGCAAGGCTCCTATTTTTCTGAGCCCAATAATTCGTTTGATTTGAAAAAAAGCTAGGGGACGGAAAGGGGAGGAAAGGGAATGAAAGGGTGTCCTCTCTGTTTTAATGTTTTGTCAAAAAGTTATGAAGGTAGAGAAAAGACTCCTACTTTTGAAAGTTTATTGATATTATTTATATATGTAAGTGTTTTTTTATTAAATTTGTTAAAAATTTTATTTAAAAATTTTAAATTTTAATTAATATTTCTAAAATTTAATTGTTAAATTAAAAATTTTATTAATTATGTATATTAATTTTTAAATTATTTCGATAAATTTAATAATTTTATTTGTTATAAAAAATTTAATATTATTAAATATATATCAATAAATAAATTTTGTTAATTAAAGAGTTACAAATCTTAAATTAATATAAACATTGACATGTATAATTTAAATAAATAAAACTTTTAATTTAACAAGAAGCCCTCTAAAAAAAATTTTAAAAATATGACATATCTTATATTATTTTGGTGTATATATATAAATATGATATTAGTGCGTATCAATCCTGATTCTCAGAAATAATTAGAATTTTAACATATATCTAGAAATTAAAATCTCATCCTATTAAATATTGATATTTAAAATTGAAAACCCATTATATACTTTAATATATCAACATTTAATAAGATAATTTTTTAAATTTTATATTGAATTTTAATTAAATAAAATAATATAATTTAAGATTAAAATTTTAATTATTTTTAAGAGTAAAGATTAATATGCACTTTTCTTTTTATATATATATTTGTTTTTTTAGTAAGTACAATAATCTATATTGGCACCTGAGCCTCATATCCTAACAATTATAAATTAATTTATAAGGTGCATTCTCTAACTTGTTGGGATTCGATTCACCCACCCCAAAATTATAAATTTGTTCAAAAATATATATATATATATTTATTTAGGATTAATAGCCACAAGACCACCCCTTCCAATTTTTTAGGTTAAAATATCATTTTGACCTCTCAACTTTTCATTTTAATATTAAAATTCTCTATAAACTTTAAAAAATATCAAAATTATTCCTAAATTTTATTTTTTGGTAGCAATGTTATCCTTCTATTAATGAAAGGGACGGGTGACACGTTAAAATGACACAAATCACATTTAAAAAAAAAATAATGATCTGAAAAACAAAACATGCAAAAGGTGATGAGATGACATTATTTCTTTTTTATGTGGCATTTTTTACTATTTTTCATCTTTTTCCTCCCTTCTTCTCTCTCATACCTGTGCCTCTTCTTCTTTCCCAACCTTCTTGCTTGTTTCCCCTCCTCATTCTACCTCTTTCTTCTTCTTTCTCTCTCCTCCCTTCTTCTTCCTCCTTCTGCCCTTTCTAAATCTGTGTGGGTTCTCCCTTGAGAACCCTAATCTAGGTTCT